TTTTCGTCCTTTTTCGTAATTTCTCATTCATCCGATATTGGTTTTCGAAATGCCAAATATACCCTTTAATACATGCAGAGAAATCAAAATTCTCTTTTGGGGGCGTTGCCCCCGAGCCCCCACGACCCTCGCGACCTGACCGGGCAGGTCGATCCCCGTTTGTGCGCCCTGAAGCGGCGAAGTGGCAAACAATTTTGCCTAAACGGATTGAGTCGAGCTTTTGAGTATTTGGCCGAAATCGATACGAAGTCATTTTAATCGATTTTCAATTCTCGATTTATTTAACCAATATCCAACAATCCCCCACATGAATGAAAATTCCTCGATATGCGCAACACAATGCGAATGCAATGAAAATGAAATGCAGACTCTAACAAATGGAGTACACACAAGTCATAGCATCAAGATAGGTAGCTTGTGGCCTTGAACCTTCTTTAGTTGAATACAATCGGATTTACTAGGCTAGTTGGTGAACGCGATGTCTTGAACCATCCAGCCGTTCGTGTAAAACCAAACAACTGTACCAACACCATGACTCATCTAACCTATTCGGTTCTCATGGTTGAGTCCATTTTGGCCCTGGACAACTCTTGGTTTCATAAATGCTCTAAGAGAATTAAGCCTCGAACTCTCGTAGAAACAGCCCCATTTCACACTTATATAGGTGATCCCATACATTTCTATCTCAAGGTTATGAATCATTAAAAGTATATATGTATACTTATCCTTATACACATTTTACATAGCACTTTAAATTTTAGGAATGGGAATAAGTGTTTTATTCCGAATCATTTATGACTTAGTTGTCCCATTGAACCAAGATCTTGGTCTCCAATCTACAAGGTTGGGTTTCCGTCATAGTAATTCTATTCAATAGGCTTTAGGCCCATTCCCCTCGAAAGATGGTAAATTTGATCTCTTGCAAGTCCTTTCGTCAAAGGATCAGCCAAATTTTATTTTGACTTCATATAGTTAATAGAGATTATACCATTCGATATTAACTGTTTAATGGTATTATGTCTCTGACGGATATGTCGAGACTTACCATTATACATACTGTTTTGTGCCCTTGCTATTGCCGACTGATTATCGCAATGTATATTAATCGCAGAAACCGGCTTTTCCCAACATGAAATTTCTTCAAGAAAATTACGAAGCCATTCTGCTTCTTCACCGGCTTTGTCTAACGCAATAAACTCAGATTCCATCGTGGATCGAGCAATACATGTTTGCTTAGACGATTTCCAGGACACGGCTCCACCTCCAATGGTAAATACATAACCACTCGTGGATTTTGAATCCTTAGCGTCAGATATCCAATTTGCATCAGTATATCCTTCTAATACTGCAGGATATTTTGAGTAGTGTAATCCATATTCAACCGTGTGTCTTAAATATCTAAGAACTCGGTTTAATGCCTTCCAATGTACAACACTTGGATTACTAGTGAATCTACTCAACTTGTTGACTATATATGCTATATCCGGTCTTGTGCAGTTGGTAATATACATTAAATTACCAATGACACGAGAATATTCCAATTGAGATACGGGCTCACCAGTATTCTTGGCTAAGTAAATACCTAAGTCAACTGGTGACTTAACCGGTTTATCGTCATACGCCTTAAATTTCTTAAGTATAGTCTCAACATAATGTGATTGAGACAATGACAAACCATCGGATGGCTTAGAGATTTTAATCCCTAATATTACATCCGCCACTCCCATATCCTTCATGTCAAAATGCTTTGTTAACATTTTCTTAGTCGAGGAAATGACTTTGGAGTTATTTCCCATAATTAGCATATCGTCAACATATAGGCATATGATTACATATTCATTAGGTGCGTTTTTAATGTAGACACATTTGTCACATTCATTGATTTTGAAGCCATTTGACAACATAGTTTTATCAAACTTTTCATGCCATTGCTTCGGTGCTTGTTTCAATCCATACAATGATTTTACAAGTCTACACACCTTCTTTTCATTTCCTGGTGCAACAAACCCTTCAGGTTGTTCCATGTAGATTTCTTTTTCTAATTCACCATTTAGAAACGCGGTTTTGACATCCATTTGATGTATTTCAAGATTATGCAATGCTGCGATTGCAATCAAGACACGTATAGACGTAATTCTTGTAACGGGTGAATAGGTATCAAAGAAATCTAGTCCTTCTTTTTGTCTATACCCTTTGGCTACTAATCTAGCCTTGTATTTATCAATTGATCCATCCGACTTCAATTTCTTTTTGAAGATCCATTTACAGCCTAAAGCTTTGTTTCCCAGAGGGAGTTCAACCAATTCCCAAGTATGGTTACTCATGATGGATTCAATTTCATTGTGTACAGCTTCTTTCCAAAAAGGAGCTTCGGGAGAGGACATTGCTTCATCAAATGTCCTAGGATCATTTTCAAGTAAATTGGTTACGAATTTTGGACCGAATGTCTTTGGAATTCGTTGCCTTTTACTACATCTCGGTTCTTCATTTACTTGAAGATCATCATTCTTTCCATGTATGTTATCATAAGTTCGTTTATTTGAACCTACTTCCTTTTCTTTACAAGGAAAACTGTCTTCAAAGAAGACCGCATTTCTTGATTCAATAATTGTACCTACGTGTACATCAAGTACTTCGGATTTGTGAACCAAGAATCGATATGCACTACTATTGATAGCATATCCAATAAAGACACAATCAATTGTCTTTGGTCCAATCCTAACTTGTTTAGGTTTAGGTATTTGTACTTTCGCTAAGCACCCCCACACTTT